AACAAGAATGAGTTATTATTACTTTACTTATTTATTATGTATTTACAACTTACTCTTTCTGGTGTGGTTAAATGTGGAGATCCAGTTCATGCAGTTCTTGAGGTATTGCTTGAGGAATTGGTTTCGTTCTGTTTGCTGATCCCAATGCATTTTGGTTTCTTTAGCTTTGGGGTTTTTATCAATCCACTGCAGAGTTTCAGAATCAAAGACCATAAAATCCTCTCCATCAAATCCATATTCATCAAATGCTCTCAGACTCACCGTTCCATCAGGAAGTTTCTCCAGTTCACAACCAATCATTCTCTGAAGAACATGGAGCTCTACAATCACAGAACAACACTCACAACAACACAAGACATTTCATAACATGCCTGATAATTGATGACTAAAGCATGAAACTCACGAGAACACTGAGAGTCTGTGCAGTTTGACAGAGTGTTTAACTGATGTAGGAACCTGTCTCTAGAATCAGGTGGTTCTTCAGGAGCTTCAGTCCAGTCATCTTCAGTCAGAATCCAGACTCTTTCTTCATTACTGTAGTGTTTGATCTGTCTGCCATCAGCAACAGCTCCAGCACTGAACTCTGGGAAAGTGTCTGCTTTGGAAAGAGCTGTAAACTTGAATTGGAGGGAATGTTTCTCTGAGGAACAGAGTATAAAACACAAGCAATGACAAAACGTAAAATGACTGACAAATGGTGGATAAACCTGAAAACAAACTCTAAAGTACACTGAAAAATTTGACATAATATTTTATATTATTATAAAACTATTTATAGTGTGTTTGTTAGTGACTGCAGTTTGTAGGTCGCCATTTTTACCGGTGTAATGCTGCGTTCACGCCATATCGTAATTACCTTAATTTCGAAATGACAGCACGTGACGTTCGGACTCGGAATTATGCTTTTTGCCTTGTCCAAATACCCACACATGCGGTCTTGGCCACTTGAGAGCGCATGCGCCGCGATAGGAAGTAAGTGCGCAAGACTGTCCCAGGTCTTAAAGGGGTCATATGATGCGATTTCAAGTTTTCCTTTCTCTTTGGAGTGTTACAAGCTCTTGGTGCATAAAGAAGATCTGTAAAATTGCAAAGACTAAAGTCTCAAATCCAAAGAGATATTCTTTATAAAAGTTAAGAGTCAGCCACGCCTACCTAAAACGGCTCGTTCTAACACGCCCCCACATATCTACCTCACTATGTGGGAAGATTTGCATAACCCCGCCCAAATGTTCACGCAAAGAAGACATAACTTTTATTCTCGCTGTAGAATTGTTGCCGCCGCCATGTCGTGAAGGCACTGTGTCTTTCGTTGTGAAAGCGAAACTACTTTGTTTGGTCTTCCAAAAGAGGATGATAGCGGAGTCCAGCCCGGGGTCGTCACATGTGGTTGCTGCAAGCCCTCCGGACACTCCTTCGTCGAATCCCCTGGCCTCCGCTCACTCTAGACCTCCGGCCTCCGCTCACTCAAGGCCGTGGTATGTGACGCTGTGTGTTTTGTTGTGAAAGCGAAACTACTTTGTTTGGTCTTCCAAAAATGGACACGACTAGAAATCAGTGGTTAAGTTGTATTTACAACACTGTTCCAGAACACTTGAACCCAAATATTCAGATGTGTGCAGAGCATTTTATGGAGGACGGTTTCCTGATCCTGGGAGAGTAGACTACAATGTTCTGTTCTGACTCACGGACTTTATGCAAGTACGTTTTTTATATTTAAAGAGTTTTAATATTTTTTATATTTAAAGCGAGTTTTTTGGGCAGTGTAGAGTAGGGCTTGTTGTTTGTCATTTCTCCGATCACAAATGCAGACATGGTTTTATGTTTACACGGCCCAATGCAACGCAAAGTCATTATAATCCATAATTATTGCGATTAATTGCTCATGCTTTTATCACGGTATATGGTATTATCACGATATTGACATTTTTTAAAGTGCTGTCATAATACAGTATAACAGGTTTAATAACTTTTTTCTTATAACAAAAATAACTGAACATTTAAATGCAATAAAGCAATACAGAAAAATGTATAAAGTTAAAAGTTTTACACAGATTAAAGTGCAAAGAACTATAAAGACCAATATGTATCACTTTACAACAAGACCTCATTAGTTAAGCTTAGTTAATGCATTAACATTCACAATCAGCAATAGCTACATTTGCTACAGAAGTTATTCATCTTTGTTAAAAAATACAAGTCTTAGTTCATGTTAGCTCATTAAATAACACAGTTGCAACTTTTTTAAATATTGGAATACCTAAGATTAATGAATGCTCAGAAGAATTTTACATTGGCAGTTTATGTTAACTAACGAATTAACTAATGTTAACTAATGAAGCCCTAATGTAAAGTGTGCCCGAACAATAAAGAATCAAAACACTTTCAAACAATATCTAGGCTATGTTGTAGTCCAGATTAAAATGTAAAAAAAGATTGAAAATAAATAGCCTATTAAGTCTAAATATGTAAGTATTTGGCGCTGTGATGAACATCAGAGCAAACACACAAATTTGAATGACTTGTTAAATCATTTAAACACAATTCAGAAACAGAAAGTAGTGCAGCTGCTTTGTTTACAGGGTTTCATTTAAATTAATTATTATTAGTAGCAGTATTTCTGCAGTTTAGCTTCATCTGCTGTCAGAGAGTGAAAGTGCGCTTTCCTCCAGAGCGTCTCTCGCATGTTCCGCCGTGTGCTCCTCGTCCGCGCTTGTTTACATCAGAGTGCGCATGCCTCTTTCACGCAGCATACAGCGGTGTTGTGCATTTTGACCAGTTGATGGGAAAAGTATTCTTAAAATGCATTCAAAATTCGGAATAATTTGTAATATATAATTATTCACGGTATTTAGAAGTGCCCACAATAACAATATCGTACATATTCATTACCGTGATATACCGCATTACCGAATACCGGCACAAGTCTATATGTGAGGGGCGTAACATTTCCGTCTCACGCTTGAGGTATTCGGCCAATCACAACGCACTGGATAGCTGGCCAATCACAGCACACCTCGCTTTTTCAGAACGATGAGTTTTGTAAAAATCGACGCGTTTCAGAAAGGCGGGGCATAGAGGAGAAACAATAATGTACAGTATGTGGAAAATATGTTTTTTTAACTTTAAACCGCATAAACATTTCGTTACACCAAATACACAAAATAATGTTCTTTTTAGCAACATCGTATGACCCCTTTAAAAACACCAGAGCGCAGTGCGCTTAACGCACACTAAATCCACACTCTCTCGAATACTGCTCCGGAGAGCTATTCGAGGCTTAGTGTATCCCATCATGCATCATGTTCTGGAAATAAATCGTTAGACTTTTTGCCAAGATCTCACGAGAGGTCACGGCAACCTTTCCAATGCAAGTTAAATATTAAAGGGGTCATATGATGCGATTTCAAGTTTTCCTTT